GGGGGGGGGGGGGGGGTGCCTGCCACGTGGGTACCGTGGGAACCGGGGTGGGAGGCCTTGCTCCCTCTGCAGGCACAGGGAGTGGGGTCCGCTGTGGATCGGGGAGGAGGGGGCCATGTGCAGCCTTTGGGAGTCTCTAATTGCAGGCCAGCTCCTGAGTAATGACAGCCTGCTGCCTAGCCCTTCCCGGGATATTTTTAACCCTGAATTCATTTTTACCCCTTTTGTGGTAGCCATTTCAATGGGAGAAAGTCCTCTTCTGTGTCCTCTTACGATTTTCTGTGATATGTCCTGGAGAAAACAGCTCAAATACATGTCGCACCTGCCATTTTTATGCTTAGAAAGGACCCCGGTGACATTTCTGGAAGAGGTTGAAGCCACAATTCAATCAAGTATTTAATCTAGGTTTGGTATCAAACAAACAGCATTTTAAAAATAAAATACAATGATTAGAATATCCTAGAAAACACCATCAGACCTATTACAATGTAATCTAAAGCTGGAAAAAAGTATTGGCAAGTTTATAATCAGGCTTTAAAAAATCAAAAAAAGGACTAAATGCCATTTTAGGAAAAATGGTGAAAAACAATAACAAGAACAAATGCAGGAGATACAGAAATGTTAGGCCCTCGGTCATCCTAACAAGGGACGTATGCTTCTGGAAAAGCAAAAGCCACTACAAAGACCTAGTTCAGGAGGAAACGGCCGCGAAGGAACGGGGCCAGAGAGTGGAGGGTTCGGCGGTCCTTACGGACCTAATTCACAACGACCACCGTCCCATTCATCCCCGAAAGAATACGCTCCCTTTTCAAACAGACGTCCGTTCCAGAACCACATTCTGAGCTGCAAAGACAATCACCATGTTTGATGTTTCCTTTCAAGGTACATAAGTGCTTGGCCTTTTAAATTGTTTTCTTCTTGCACTGCTTTGTGAAAACAAATGTGGTTTAATAAGAAAGGAACTAAAAATAGAACTGCTTGGTCACGCAGGGCTAGGGAACCCTGACGTGAGCCTGCAGGACCGAGTGTGACTGGTTTTCTAAGAGCTTCCTTGCCCCCCAACTTGCCAGCCCCTGACCTGGCCACACTTTTGCTTTTTGGCCCAAAGGCCGCTGGGAGCCAGTGAGGCCGACATTTCCCCCCCAAAGGCGTCCTAGAAGCTGCCCTGTTCCCAGGTTCTCACACTGACCTTGCAAGCTGCCTCGTTAGAAACCCTGTAGTTTCTCACGTACACCCGACGCCAACCTCTTACACGGTTGTGGATACTATCTCCCAGGCAGTTTGTTTGTTTGTTTTGTGGTTTTTTATTTGTTTGTTGTGTGGACAAAAGGGGGCCACATACTAACCTCAGAAACGCAGAGAAGGCCTGCGTGAAGGCCCTGCAAACTCAGAAGTCACCACAAAGGATGGCCTGGAACTAAAACCTTCCATTAGAAAGCAGTTCATGGTGGGCAGTCACGTCAAGGTCAACTCCGATCCTCGCTGAGCCTATTGTCTCTCTGCATCCAGGTAACCAACCTGCGGAACAGGGTGACTTACTGTTAGGTTGCTGTTGACTGTTGACGGCCCTGCACCCACGTATGTAAAAGGTGCACGTGTCCATCATTTCACTTTTTACCCAATCCCCGAGGTTCCCCTGCTTTGCTTCCTCCCGCCCCCTCATCCATCACCGGCGGATTTCAGGGAACCAGGTCCCCCTCCTTTGGGGGTAATTTACAAAAATAAGTGGGAACCTACTCTTCTCCGGAGCATTGTCCCAGCGCGGGGAGGTTCTGCTTCCCGGCAACTGTTGACAGTTTGGCTCAGATAAACTCACAAGAATTCTTCACGGGTTTGACTGTTCCCTTATGTTTCGGTTTTCCCCCCCTGACATGAGTGTTAAAGTAGCGCAGGGCGTGGACTTCTCCTGTCACAGCTGTTTGGGTGTTTTGCTCTGGTTTCCATGTCAGGCCTCCCCACAAGACCTTAAGAGCAGTAGCCTCCCAAGGCCTCGGCCCAGAGCGGGATGGGAAATCCGGTCTAAAGGGTCACGTGGCGACCGACCAGAGGCCGGGGCCGCTCACGGCTTCCTTTGCCCCAATCTCCCCGCGGGCCTTTGAGCGAGGGCGGCC